ACAACAGACAACTAGATGCCTATGAGAATGTAGAAATAAGTAAACACAATAATATTATGAATAACGATGACGGACTATACCAAAGAGCTAAGAGAGATATAGCTTGTTAAAATAAAATAATATTGTAGGGTTTACTGATTACTATACATAAGGACACATTGCAAAAATAAATTTAGATAGGCAATATTGTGAAATTAATTTTTTTTATATAGCTGAAAATTGTTTTATATAAACATATATTGTAAAATAATAGATAAGGCAAAATTGAGAAATTGATTTAGGTGGTATACCTGGACGGTTTACCTGAATGGTATACCTATATAGCATAAATAGTGTTAGCTTCGCATTTGTTTCTAGTTTTGATCTTCCTCTTTGAAGATGATCACTTGGTGATCAAAACACGTGTCGAGATGTTAAAAATAATGATTTGGTGTTGGGAAAGAAATTCCAGTAATATTCATTACTACACCAAAGGTTCCAAACAGTGCATCATAAGTTAAATTAGATAAATAAATAAATGTATAATAATATGTATGGCAATATGTAATATAGTTTTGGGCTATAGTAGAAAAATGATTTTTGTGTTAGAGATTGATTCATATTCCAATTTGTGGTTGCGCGAGTGTTGGACTTTCTCCTTTCAAATGATAAACTCGTAGTAGGCATTGGTAAGTGTAGATTTCTCTGACTGAATAGTTAAGTTTCTTCATATATGAGTTGCGTTAGAAATCGACTATTTTTACGAAGTATGATTTTTAAAAGAGTGTTTTGAGGGATTTGGGATTTGTAGATTTTGTAAGTTTGTTGTGAATGTGCCACCCCAGGTAGTTATACAGTATCTTAAAGTTGATTCGCATAGTGAATTGTACATCATCATCAAGTTTTTTCGAAATAAGATATCTCTCATACTGTAAAATCAATTCATTAATGTCCTTGTACACTTGTCGAGATAGGTAATACCATCGTTCCATTTAATATGCTGAGCAATCATGACATTCATTGTTGCAGTTTTCTGGAGTGTAGGGCAATTGCAGTCGTCTTCGTTATTACACAGGGGATTATGTAATTTGATATTAATTTTGAGATGGTCAGTGATAGTTGTCGAGAATGTGATATATTTTGTTTTGCCGATATATAGGCTGAGTATAGATTGAAATCCAACCATATTTTGATTCTTTGCAAATTTGTCTCTCTTTTTTTGTGGACTTCTTTCCAACTTATTCCAGTAATGACGACAGCTGGATCATCTGCATAGCAGATCAATTGACCTTCAAGATTACGTATTCTGAAGATACTATTTGAATATTTAAAAAAAAATATTGGTCCGAGTACAGTTCTTTGGAGACCTCCAGTCTTGACTGTTGACTCAGAACTCAATTCATTTCCAATATCAGTTCTTTGTGTTCTATTTGACAGATAATCTTTGAAGAGGTCTAGATTCGAATCATAGTCATGCATTTTGTCAATTAATCTGCTATGAGCTGTGTCAGAGGTCTCTGCAAGGTTGAGAAATACTGCTAAGCATTCATCTGATTCATCCAATGCCCCAACTATTGGTTTGAGTAGACTCAACACTTTTACCGAGTATCGTCATGAATAGATACTCGTCATTGTTAAAATTTTTGATGCTTTAAAAATCGGTCTACAGGATGCTTTGCTTGAGGTATCGCAAATAATTTTCAAAATGCGTTTTTGTACAATAAATACGTCTGGTGCTCGAGTGGACACACCCGATATGCCATATCGTAATCGGGAGGCTACTTGTGCATGATATAAAACGATTAATTGTTCACGTAACGAAATGTTCTTAAGATTTCGGAACATAAAACATAATGAGTTCAATTTTGAAATCAAGTTGGTATAATGTTCTTTCCAGTTCAAACCAGAGTCTATAGTAATTCCAAGAAATTTAACTGATAAAGTGGTTCAATCAAGATTTCATCAGTTTTTATTGTTAAGTTTCACATTGTTTTTGGTAGTTGTGGAATCGTATTATATTTGTCTTATTAATATTGAAATAGAGACACTTCTGATCACACCATGAAATGAGGTTACCAACCGCAGTTGTACACTTTTGTTTCAAGGTATTTTCACATTTGTCAGAGACAAATATATTGGTGTCATCTGCATATCTAATAAAGCTGGCAGAAGATTCGATATTATCCATGTCATTCGTGTAGAATAAAAATAAAATTGGCTCCAAAACAGAGCCTTGGGGAACGCCCATAGAGATATTTTGATATGCAGATTTAGTGGAAGATATACTAACAAATTGTTTTCTGTGTGTTAAGAAACTCCGTATCCAGTCGAGTGAAACTCCACGAATACCATATTTGTACAATTTAGACAAGAGTACCTCATGCTGAACGCAGTCAAATGCCCTGCTGAGATCACAGAAGATTCCAACAGGGCATTCACCTGATTCGATTGCTTTGATCAATTTTTCATAAAATGACAACACCGCACTCTGAGTTGAGCGTCCTGGCAGGAAGAAGATGCTATGACTTAATGCAAAATTCATAAGTCTTTGAAGATAAGAATATTCAAAAACCTTAGAAAAACAGGATGTGACAGTAATAGGCCTATAATTTTCAAGATTTGCTGGATTTTGCTTTTTGTATACTGGGATGACTGCCGATTTTCAATAAAGATGGAAAACAACCACAAGTGAAAGAAAGATTAACTAGATAAGATAGAGGCGAAATAATGTGACGTAACACCTTTTTCAAAATAAATGACGGAATCTCATCTGGCCCCGACGAGGCTTTATTCTTCAATTTATTCGACATCAACTGTAATAATTCATGTTCTGAAAAGGGTGCTAGAAACAGGGACTCATTGAACCCAATTATTTCAGGTTCGGGAAGTTGAGCTGTCCTTTGAGGCCTATGTTCACTGAGAAGTTTGATTGGCATATTTATGAAGAATTAATTAAATAAATTACTGATTCTCTCTGGATCTTCAACAGATTCATTTTCATGCGAGATAGAGATATTATTAAAGGAATGTTTTCTCGTGCGATTAGTCAGTCTAGTGAGGACCTAATCAGTGGTCAGTGACCAGTCTGCGACTACCTTCGTCAGTTAAATAAATGACACAAATGTGTGACTTGAGAAGAATGTCTCGCATTTATGTTACGCATTTCAGGGGACACCCTCCTATGATTGAATGGTACTTACTGGCTGGCTGTAATCGTGAGATGCTCTCCTGATCTTCTCACTTACCCTGAGGTCTGAATATTTAGCTTTGTAATAATTCTTGTGGACTATCTTTTGGAAAATTCTCTACGGTAGCTATAATAGCAAATTGAAGACATTTCAGTTGATTGGTTGGTATTACGTTATCGAATGTTCAAAATGCAAGATTCCCACCTTGATGATGGTAACAAACCTTTCCACTTGATGGCATCTGTGAGTCAGCTGAACCTGTATGGTTCAGTAGGGGTATTTTAATTGGATTAGTCTCCGACTGAAATAGTAGAATAACTATTGAAACGTTTAAAAGACAATAAAAAATAACAAACATATTGAGAACGTTCGGTTTGTTAGGATATGGCAGTTGTCATGGTACATGCAAAGATAATTTCGGGCTATGTCATTAGTGACTGTGCGCGCATGAATAATTTGTTATGTCATATATATATTATTGTGTCGTGGTGTGTCGTGACGCACCACAAGTATATCGTATCCATACATCTAGTATGTTTAGAATTATATTACTAAAGTGCAGTGTGTCAGGACGCGATCTGTCGTGACGGCAATCAGTCGATTCCCAATCGGCGTCAGAACGATGGTGGGGTTATGACGCGTCAGAAGACTCCACACTAGTATATTTCTAATCTGACGCGTTGACTAGCTAGAGAATAGTCGTTTGCATTTATTTGTGCACAAAATGTCGAACAAACTTATTGAACTTGTTAGAAAATACGGGTTTGCATTTTTTTAATATCATTTTCAACCATACTCTGATTGGTTTTTTGACATCCTGAAATATTGATGAGATTTTCCTTCATCACTAGTAAATGATATTCGCTTCGACTACTTCTCAGATCATTTACTGGATGGACCCAATATTTTCTCTTTTCTTTTTAAGTAAACTTCACATTAGCAGACATGCAAGGTTTTCTTGAATATCACTATCCGAATCGGAGAAAAGCATTGCTGTCACGAGCAAAATTTGTGAAGCGTTCACAACGAACCTGTCATGCAATTACACTGCGCGGAATATTGCAAATCAATCCACAGAAACGTCTTTTGCAGTGTTGTCAGATCATCTGTTATGGGTCTTGAGCTACTGTTCTACTCAGCTTACTTTCTAGAATAATCATTAAACGACTAAGAAGTGGAAATTACCATGTATTCGGTAAATATGTATGAAATACTATAAAGTCCATTGATGGTTTTTTCGTGAAGGGAGATGTCATTGGCTTTTCTTACTCAGACTTGTTTGTTAAGAACGGTGGAATTCATCAATGCATCCCATTGCCAATGATGCTCGATGAATAAATATTTATTGTGAGAATAAGGTAATATAAACTAGAAGTTTACACTCATTTAAACTTCTTTCCATTCCGAAATAATGTTAGTAAATTATCACTGCTCTCAATTGGTTTTCTAGGAGGTTCCTCAATAATACCAGCGGGGGTGCGTCCACTTCCCCTCAGTGGTCGTGAGATGGTGCTTATATAGTTCGTCTCTTAGGCCTACGTTTCTATTTGTTCTGATAACCCATTCTGGCTACCTTATTGCATTCACTCCTCCAAGTGGATGAAAAAGAAATGTGAATATTTGTATGCCATAGCATGAGATATATAGTAAATGAAATGACATATTTCTGTATTTTGTACTTGGTGGCCAAGTACAAAATACAGAAATATATCCAAAAGTTGATCAAATGGAAATCCCCGTAATTGGCTATCATAAATACATCAACTTATGGGACGCAGAAAATATTTGATTAGATTTCATTAAAAGTAGAACATTATAAATATGATGTTTTCATTACTGAAGGAAAACTAGTCTACAATTGAAACTATTATTATGACTTACCCTATCGTCGATATCTTTCGTATTTGCCATATAGTGCATTATAGCGTCCGAAATTTTTGTGTCTAAATTCCTGATGACGGCATCAGCATTGATCCCTGCGTCGTTGTTACTTTTCTTCATAGCGTTCAAAAGGCTCTCGATACCTTCAACGTATCCGTTCCACGGTAGATCCAGTTCCGCTACGTATTTTGTGATACACCCTCTCAGGACGTTGAGGCAGTAGCCCGAACAAGGCTTGGTGTTTTTCCGCAAGCCCATACACTTCGGGCAATACGTCATTTTCAAAAGTGCGGTGTGGCATTCGGAATTTCCTGTGGAAGTATTGAACAATAATAATATTGAAGAGCTATTTACGATATACAGTGCTTTTCAGATAAAAGTATCCACCTTTAATAACTTTTGTAATACTGGTATTTAGGAAACATCCAAAAACACGTCAATTTATGTTGGAAGGGGCAAGCATTATGGCTTATTTAAACTTATATGATGCTAGGGGTGAGGGGGTGGAAAAACCACCCCCTCATCCCTTTTTTTAATTACTTCTTATATTTTTTATGTAAAATTTGGATAGTCCTCTTTGAGCTGATTTCAAAAATGTATAATACTTGTAGGTTAAAGTGGTTAATTTATGAGATAAACAATTTTTCTTTTAATAGCACAAATTTTACTCATTTTTTACTTTCACCTTATTTGCCTGTAATAAAATGGGTTGTACAACAGTTCAAACTCTTTAATCTTTTTAACTGTGCTATTTATTATGACAGTGGTTCTCAAACTTTTTTAATGACGGAACCCTTTTGAGAAGCAAAATACTTGATGGAACCCTACAATAAAACAATTGTTTTTATAAGTGTATTCTTTATTAATCAGCATAATAAAAGTACACTGTAACAGTTACTAATTATTATTTACTTCACCACTTGCCAAGGACAATAATAGAAAACATTAAAAAAGAAAAAATCTAACTAGTGGGAGGTATGAAACTGTTTTTTATTTTTCATCAATTGGTTGATATCAGGTTTGATGGAAGAAAGTTGGAGTCTCATATCAGCTTCGGCGTCCAGTCTATTACGATATTTTGTTTTCGTGGCTGCGTAGGTAGAGAATCCCGTTTCGCACAAATATGTAGTTGGGAACGGGAGAAGAATATCCAGAGCCATTTGGCCAAGCATTGCATATTCATCTTGGATTTTGCACCAAAAATCATTGAGAGGCGTCGTTTTGAACAGTGACTCCATACTTGTGTCTGATGACATTTCTAAAAGAGATTCATATATCTCGTTTGACATGTTTTCAGGCTTTTCCAAGTTGGGTGAAAAAAGGATTATAAATCCATGAATTCACTTTAATTTTTGTATTGTGTTCTTCGGGAAAATACTTTTCAAAAGATGCGCGCATCGAACTGAGATATTGGACCAATTCTTCAAACACATCATCTTCAAACATTTCTGAGTCGTTTTCGCTAACAAACTCACTGAGTAACGTAAAACTTTCTATTTCTTTCTTACCAATGCAAATGATCCAAAAATCTAATTTTCTTTTAAAAGCAGTTATTTTATTATAGGCCTGAAACACTGTTGTCTGTTTACCTTGCAACGATAAATTCAATTCGTTAAGTTTTTGTAAGATATCCGCCATAAAAGACAATCGGAACAACCAAGTTTTATCATACAAACGGTCCTTCGAATTAAAAGAAGTATCTGCTGAAAGGAACATTTGTAATTCGGCTCTAAGTTCAAATAGCCTTGTTAAAGTTTTACCCCGAGACAGCCATCGCACTTCTGTATGGAGCAGCAGTGTTTATGTTTGCTGCCATAATCTTCACACAATAATGAGAACAATCGGGATTGTAGTGGTCGTGATTTGATAAAATTAATTATTTTTACCGCTTCATCCATAACTAATTTTAGATTTGACGGCATTTGCTTCATCGCAAGTGCTTATCTATGCAGAATACAATGACTGGAACTACAATTAGGCGCTTTATTTTTCATTCGTGACACTGCTCCTGCTGTTTTACCTGTCATCGCCTTGGCCCCATCTGTACAAATGTCAATGCAATTGTTCCAACTGAGATTATTTTCTTCAAAAAATATATTTATTTTATTAAAAATTTCTTCCCCGGTAGTGTTTGTAAGCAGCGGTGGACACATAAGTATGTCTTCTTCAAAAGAACTTTTATATGGATATCTCACAATAACCAGCAGGATAGCCAAACCAGCGACATCAGTCGACTCGTCCATTTGCAAGGCGAATCGTGTATTTTGTAGACGTGTAACTAGTTCTTGTTTGACGTAGCTTGCCAGATCATGGATTCGTCGTGAAACAGTATCGTTTGATAGCGGAACAGTAGAAAGATGCTTTGCAGATTTTTCATCGAGCATACATTTTGTTATGTCTAATACACATGGTTTTATTAAATTTTCAGCGATAGTGTGCGCTTCACCTGCTTGTGCAATGCGATAGCTAACTAAATATGATGCCTCCGTGGCCTTTTCGTTGATAGTTTGTGTTACATGCATCATATTTTTTTGACTTTCTAATAACTGATCTTTTTTGCGAACAAAAAATTCTTTATTCTTGTCTTTAGACTCGGGGTGTACAGTTTCTAAATGTCGGCGCAATTTGGCAGGTGCCATGGAACTATTAGGAAGCAGTTTACTACAGAGCATGCAGAGAGGTGAGCCGTTGGAATCAACAAAACCGAAACTAATATAAGATTCATCATACTTCCTTCTTTTCGTCGAGCCTGACGTCGTGGCATCATCTTCTGGATCGGTGATTGCTATATTCTCCGCGCGCACTGCTTTTGAACATCCAGCGTCATTAGAAGATGTTGTTGCAACACGTTTAACACCTTCAAGCCAACGTTCCATTCTTCTTTATTTATAATGTTACACGTCAGGATAGTGGGGTTTAAATAATGCACAATCGTTACTGCGTATACCTAAGAGACTAAATTTAGTACCTAGGTACAGTGAAGAAATGTATAAAACTGAGACAACAGAATACAGCAGGCAGTAAAACAATGAACACTATTTTCTCGCTAGCGAGCTTGTAAGTAGGTAGTAACTTAACGCTCCGAACGCTAATCGTCAACTGACGACGCGCGATCGCCGCTTTTATAATTAGTCCTAGACTCGATCTCAAATATTCTCGAAAATACTCGAATCGGTACCTTTGATAAACAAAAAGCAAAAATAAAAACAAAAATTTAAAAATTGCTTTGTAAACAATATCGACTTTATCCTTTGAAGTTAGAGACGAAAGTCGCTTGTTTTCACAACTATAGCGTCTAATTCAGAGGCGGCTTTTATCAAAGAGACTGCGCGCTCACAAGTATACTTACTACCCGCTCGCTTTAAGTTTGCCGCTGGCGATAGGTATGACGTTCGAAAAATAGCGTCAGCAAAACATAATATAAAAATATTTTTTATTTAATTGTAACAATAAAAATTGTGTACGTACATATTTGGGTAAAACTATGACACATTATAAGTTTTGTTGTCACGTGGGGGAGGGTACGCGCATTCCACAGACCGGCAAACTTAGAGCGAACGGGTTGTACAAGTATAAAATTGTTGATACCAAACTTATGAGATATTGTACCAGCTATTGTAACACATGTTTATACAAATACGAATAAATAAATAAATAACGTTCATAGCGTTTTGTCCCCGCGCGGCCGCGGAGCGACCAGAGAGAGGTGTTTTGAGACAAAAAGCAGTTAAAATTTTGTTGACCAGTGTTTTCAATATAATTTTCATAATTTTACCACTGCACAAAAGCATCTGAATATTTTGATATTGTAGTTTTCTCGAGAATTTCTGTTCGGAATGATATATTTCTGGTCTGATGATTCATTCTTTTGTTGATGCGGTTGATTGGAGATGATAATACAAGTATGAACTGAAGTATCCAAATTGCAGGATTTATGTGAAATATGAACTTTGTGATGCGATCTGAACGAAACGCAACCAAGAGATTCACTCAATTTGAAACGAAATTTCATGGATAATAATATAGATGAACTATATACTGAGTAATAGCGATGACACGAAGACGTTATGAATGGAACGTGTAGTGACCGTCCTAGCGAACGGACATGTTTGCATCTGTCGGTATATCAAAGAAAGTGTGTATAGTAAATAAGTGCCATCATGGGATCAAAAACTAGAAGTTCCAGCGACATTGAAGCCATCTTAATTAATATTTTCGATCGAAAAGAAGACCAAACATTTATCATGGACTACGTTATGAAAATTGTAATGGAATGTCTCAAGAAACAAATTAAAGACTTCTCAAGAATTGTTGGTGAAACAAATCAAATGGTTTTCGATATGCAGTCAGAAGTGAACGTATTGAAAAACACAGTAAAAGAACTATTGAAATCTGAAGTGAGCAACCTAAATGATGACCAAAAAGAAAACAGATGTTGCCTCGAGTCAGACGATAATAGATGTTGACCATTCTACGGGGGTAAGCGAACAAGTTCCAACAAAAATAAAGCGAGCGGCGATTTCGTGGAACGAAAGAACAAACGTCGTAATAGGAAGAGAGCGGAGAAGGTCAGTGCAGCGACAGAAGATCTCTCTAATGGACTGTTATTGGGAGATGCCAAACCAAAACAGGTCTGGTAGTATATAGCAAAAATAAAGATTAAAGATGGAACGGTTGACAATATGCTAGACTGTTTGAAGAAAAAAGAACCTATGATCAATTTTCAAGTAGAAAAATTGAACACACTAGGGCGTTACGCAGCGTTCAAAGTGGGTGCCCCCTTACACTTATTGAAAAAAATTAATGATGAATCATATTGGCCACCCAGAGTCGAAATCAGACGGTTCAATTTTCGGCCAAGGAGAAATTCGACCACAGAAGGGAA